AACGAGTAGCAGGATCACCAGTTGTAGCACGATGGTTGGCCTTAACAGACTTAGAGCGGCTTTGTTCAGGAAAGGCCGAATGTCGGAAATAGAGTTTGTTCAATCGAAGGGAAATGCACTACGGAATAGGAAAATCAAATATGAGCACGGAGTAATCGAGAGTATGTAGAACTCAAAGGAAAACCAACGAGGAATAGACGGCAGAATATGAAACAGGACTAGCTGCGAAAAATTGACACGTTATAACAGATTGTGATTTTATGACAGTTTATCAAGTGCCAATAAACCAAGTCAACAGTGTACACGTTAACAACGATGATCAATCCTTACATCATTCTGAGAAAATCGTCAGCACGATACTGCGAACACTAAATATTGGAATCCACTCACCTCTCAACCATCATCAGATAGCGAAATACAGTGAAAAAACATTATGGTTGCTACCAGACCCACAATGTATTGAAAGAACGCTTAACGTGGGTGGAGAGTGACCCCGTTCTGGAAGTAGAGGAAATTTACACCTATGGTCGAAACACAAATCGCAGTCTGACTGTGTTTGCAAATCTTTCTAAGCGTTCAGATCTGATAAGATACGACGAAAAGAATACAACTGATGTTAGCTCGTTATCATGTCCTTTAGCGGCTCCAACCAAACAGTCAATCTTTGGGACCCTTAATTGGCAGGCGGGAGATAGCTGCTCTACCTAACCGTTCCGTTTGTTTGTGTATGCCTCATCATCACATCTGTGCCCTCCCCATGATTTTCTCCAAACTGGAGCGCCAACTTAACAAAGAAGTGAAAAAGTGAGTAGCATCGTAAAGCTTCCGTAGGAGGCTTATTGATCAGCCCAGACGAAACCACATATGATGACATGGTGATTAGCAAACTTAGAGGATTGGTGAGACCCAACAAGCCAATTACTGAGTCACTTCTGAAAGTGTCTCAAATCACTGGGTCGAATAAAAGTTCGGGGAAACGGGTGGGAAGCAAGTGTAGAATTGAATATGGAATCAAAGCATTTGATGCACTAGATGTTGGTGGACGAAGACCGCATAGTGGAAAATTAGACAGAATATCCATAGGCGCAATACACCGAGGATTCCCAAGTCGATGTGCAACAAAACGGAGGGAACTCGTGTAGTGCATACTCAAAGATGATTCGGACTGAACATCAAGCAGCTCAATAGTTTTGGGATCGGCCAGGAAGCACTAGATCGTGGAATAATACATCCACCCATATTCTATCCTACATATATGAACATTCTTCACAAGTTTAGCGATGTTTCCTCAAAACATGTTGCTTATCTGTTATCAGCAACCACCTAATCTAATGTTCCAAAAGTCATTTTATTCGTCTTGGAAAAATGTGGATGATTCTTCTTGTTCTTTAAAATCAGAAATTCAGCTAACTAAATCAAGGAAGTTTGTGTTCGATGCTACATCAATTGCGTACAATATAACAATCAAATGGAGAGAGAGTTTAAAAGGAGATCAGAGTTTAGATTGAGATGACGTAACCATGATAATTGGTATACGAGACATTTGTGTGTGTGGATGAGGTAGGGGTGGTTACGAAAGAGAGTGTGGGTGAATGAATGATTCTATGAACGGAGATTAAGGTATTATATAGTTAGTGAGAACACTGGTCATACACTATATATATATACATATAATTACATCGTTCACCCACTCACACTCACAACCACCCCCTTCGTCATTCACTTCCTTAGTACACAAAATGCATACCAATTATTCCAATTGCCACATCTCATTTTGAAGTCTGATTTCGTTCGCAATAATGTACCTCTTCTCACCACCTGTTCGATCTATTATAAGTTGTACGATATTTAGCCAGTTGATGTAGCCACGAAAATATGATTAGCTGTTCAGTCTTCGGAAAACCAATGCATCAAAATAAGAACGATCGAAATATGTGACGCTGAGATCATCCAATAACAGTATAACTGAGAGATACGTTGCTCATAACGAGCAGGGACAGCACAAGGTACCACACACCAATTTCTAGCTGAGCCTGTTGGAGATAAACCATTGTCATGCCGTGTAGCTAGGAGTAAACTGTTCATAATTTGAAATGTGTCACGGTAAGAAACATTTGAGAGAGAACGAAAAAATGGCGAAGTTTGTTTTGACCTTGGAAAAAGTTAGTGTGCTTATGTGTGCGTGAGAGAGACAGAGACGCAACCGAATTAGTGCATCCAAATACTAGAAAATTGAACGAAATGTAGAAACAGCATGAAAACCCAACGGACTAAGAACTCACTTTGGAATTGTCTCGATTTCGACCCCCACGCATATAAAGTTCCTGTGGTGAAATCGTCGATACAAAGTCCGCAGTGCGTACAGGGATCTGGCCGACATATCCCATGCCTGTTGCTGTCATGGGGTTGTTGCTTGTGTTAGATGTCCCAGATGAAGAGGACGTATGGGTTAACATGGATGAAACAGGACGATCATGACGGAAACGTACACCTGGTTGGAGACCAGCAATTTTAGCCGCACCACTTCCAACCTCCTTTCCACCTTTGACCGTGTCTCGATTTCGACCCCCACGCATATAAAGTTCCTGTGGTGAAATCGTCGATACAAAGTCCGCAGTGCGTACAGGGATCTGGCCGACATATCCCATGCCTGTTGCTGTCATGGGGTTGTTGCTTGTGTTAGATGTCCCAGATGAAGAGGACGTATGGGTTAACATGGATGAAACAGGACGATCATGACGGAAACGTACACCTGGTTGGAGACCAGCAATTTTAGCCGCACCACTTCCAACCTCCTTTCCACCTTTGACCGAATGAGGTCGCCCATCGGAGGGAGGGCCACTTGTAAGTGAACCAGAGCTACCACCGCTACTCGATCTGGGATGTTTGTGTTCCGGGGTAGGGGTTTGACTTAACTGTGGACTAGAACGAAATTGATCACCAACAGCTCCGGTGAACGGTGCTGAGCACAGAATGATCGAAAAAGGAAGGAAAAGGAAAAATGGAACCCTTAGTTTATTCCAGGTGATGAACAAGAGGCTAAAATAAAAACGAAAAAATCTTAAAACTCGTCACAAGGACAAAGTTCAAGAAAATAACAATGAAATGTAGAACTCTTAATAGTAAGTTGCTAAGCATCGTTAAAAACAAGTTTACACGTTACCAAGCTATAAACCTCCTCAGTGAAGAAATACTTAATTCAGCTTGCTAGGATTGCATACCTTGAGCCTTAAGTGCCACCACGACTAATGGTTCACAACGAGGGAGGGAGGGTGGGGGTATCACAAAAAGGTGATGAGTCTGGAGACAGAGGATGACTTGACTCCAATTTTTACCGGTTGATTTACGACACCTGCGACATGTAAAAAACAGTTTGCTGGACACAGGTACTTGGCAAGCTGTTAGAGGACGGAGAAAGATCGCCAGTGGTAGTATCTGGTTACTGACATGGTACCATCGAACTGGTAAACAACAAGAAAATAGACTGCGGACTACCAGCAAACACTGATAGGGAGACGGAAAGATTTTAAAAAAAGTTGACAGAGGGAACAAGATTCGCACGAGTTAGGGAGAGCGCATCGGTTCGGAGAGGGGCACTTTGAAAGTGTCCGAGCGAACAGTTACACTGTATCAGACATTCAAATCCGAACGGCCAATAGGATCTTACTTTCAGCAATCTGAACAATGGCTGCATACTGACTAGCAAGTCAAATAACGTGACAGCACCGTTTGGACAGGACTACCCTGCAGCTTGGAGAATCAACGAAATAGGGATCGGAATTCGAGGCAGTTCACGGGATTCTAATCCGATTTGCTGTGTTAACACGGAATACGTTCAAGTGAAATTTTTCGACTGAATCCATTCCACGACTGGGCATTGAAATAAAGTACTTTATAAAAAGTTGCTCATAAACCATGAACATTCACAGATTCAGCATGCAGTTCACTGAATTAGGTTGATGAAACGAACATGGGAACTGTTTTAGTGAAACATAGACACCTCAGTCCATTGATTTGTGGTTAGGAAAAGCGCATCACAGAAAAACGAGATTATATGGNATAAATATTCCATTCAAGAGAGAAACTGTACAATGTCACTGCCATACTGGCTCGGGGATAAACCAATGGAGGGTCGGTGAACAGACGATTCATCCGATTTCGTGCACCCACCGCTGCTGACAGTACTGTGGGCATGGGATAGTGATCTTCGCGCACCTCAAATCCACAAGATGCACGAGGACCGAGTGAGGAGCCAGCTATAGACGGAGATTCCGGTGAACGCGGAATCAAGCAACGAATTTGTTCTTTGGCTCCAAGAGGGTTCACCGAGCGTGGAGGTATCATAGAAGGTTTGATAACAACGAATTCCGTTGGACTGGAATTGGATGAGGAAGGAGACGGTTGTGGAACCGGTGATGGTGTACGGTCCGTTTGTAGGAACTCTTCGGAATCCAGTCGAGGATACAAACCGGACGGGACGGGTTTGGTCGACTGCTGCGTTCTACAAGGTCTTGGTTCTGGAGATCTATGCAGTCCGGGGCGAGAAAGCGGAATGTTGACAGGATGTTCTCTTGGCTTGCGTTTAGAAGCAGTATCGTCTAGCTTATAGGGAGATACACGGGGCTATGGAAAGCGATCAAAGATGGTTAATGGTAGAAGCTTGTTATGGAATACAATAACTATACGAGACATAATCAGATTCAGTAATTCAAGTTACGTTAGATAAGCGAATTATTTCAATGTTCTCAT